CATCCATCCATTCATCCTCCATCCATAATCCATCCATCCATCCATCCATCTATCTATCTATATGTGTGTGTGTGTGTGTTTTCATTTTATTTTTTATTAGTTAACATTTATGTTATTGTTTTTTTACTGTATATATTACGTACAGCAATATGGCTGTTTATCTGTGCTGGTGGGAGGCATTCGTTGACTCAAGACCACTGGCCGAATGCCTTAGTGTCCCACCAGTGATGATATACAGCCATATCGCACTGCTACTTGTGTGATATTGCGTTTATACAACAGTTCAATGGCCTAATTGTGTGTATAAAAAAGAAAATCAAACACAGAGAGTCTCAAAAACTCTTTTGTATGAGGAACTACTTTCTTCCGCCATTCCTTCACATCGGCTACTGACGACAGAACATCAGAAACCGTTGCTCATTCACAAAACATCACTTTAGAGCTAGTGTTTGAATGATTCTCTAGCCCAGCGTAATATCTAAAGTGATGACAAAATGGGTGATTTTGCTCACATTTTAAGATTATAAGGCTGAACAACATGAAATGCCATCAGTCTGCAGAGATTTCCCAGTATTTCTCTGTTGCAATTGGGAGATCAGAATAATTAACCTCGAAAAAAGCCAAAGCAAAGCAAACACTACCAGATTACTATGGTATAAATACAGCACTACAAACAACCCGGGCTCATTGTGGAAACGTAGTCCCGCGGACGTTTCTGGAGACCACGGAATACGTCTCGGCGGGTACGTACGGCTGCAGTTTTTGCGAATCCGCGAGAGGCCGCTGTTGTGCGCTTTTTCGCATCTCAAACGCCTCTCCATGTGCGGTTCGCGCCCGCGCTGTTCTCGCGTGAACCCACCAGAGGCCGCTGTCCGACTGACAGGATGATTGACTATGCCACCGGCCGATCGGCCGACCCGCCCTCCTCCATCCCTGAACCCAACCAATTTTACCGATCGACCCGCCCGCCCGCTCGCTTCCCTAGACCCGAGCAACAGTTTACAAAAAGCCGTCCAAAAAAAGAAAAGCCCTGATTTTTTTTTCTACCGCATTTTCGGATTTTACCGCGTTCTCACCCTGTTACAAAACTCGTTCACTTAATTTTTGGGATTCTATTTTTGTCTTACCTGATTGCTGAACCGCTGTTCCCTGGACTCGAAACCGATCGCTGTGGTCAACTCCTCTTTGCATCTCGAGCCTGCCGACGTACACGGTGAGCTGAGTGGACAAACAGGTTGCAGCGGGGAAGCCCTCCATAAGGAGGTAAGCGGTCGGCCGGCCGGCTGGCAAGCACGTTAGGGAACAGCGTCACACCGCCCCTTAGCGTTCGCTTGAAAAAAATAAACGCGGCCGTACGTATCTGTCGGGATGTATTCCGCTGTCTCCAGAAACGTCCGCGGGACTACGTTTTCAGAATGAGCTTGGGTTGACTACAAAATACTAAAAAGAGAGAGATCGACTTAAAATGTCACTTACCTGTTTTATAATGAATTAAAGATTTGAAAGTTTTGGTTTGGGTTTGTGTCATTTAAAATGCAGGTCTCGTTATGCGCTCATTTATATTTTTCTACGTTTGTGGAAAGCAGACGAGTCAGCCAATATATGAGGGGGGCAGAGCAGGATTCTCCTGATGACCACTGGTGCAATACCGTTCTTTGTTATGAGCCACATCAGTTTAAACTTAGTAAAGGCGAGCTTCTTTGGCGAAACAGTGTTACATTTTACATGTAGCGGACTTTTGCTCTGAGCACGCAGTGAATGCAGCACATGGAGATACGATGTACTTTGCATTTCCTGCGCTCATAAAAGCTCCCTGTCATCTGACAGCGGAAAGCCTTGAGTGATTGACAGCTAATATAAACCGATAAATCGGCAAGGAAGACCGATTCAGCACGTTTTTAGAAAAAAACAAAACAGGTCGCACTACAACCATTATGTGCAGTCGCACAATTGCCCCCAAATGTATTATGAGGTTGTATGGCTTCAATTTCGGGCGCATATGCAACCAAAATAGTGGAAATTTCGAGCCCTGGTAAAGATGTTGGTGTATTGCTGTACATCCCCAGTATTAAACAATGTGTACTTGTTTGTACCTGCATTGGGGCATAACTAACGCGGTCTGTGCTGGACTTCAGAGCAGCTTTCAGTTGGTCAATGGCGTGGTCTATTTCAGTTCTTCAAAATAGCAACACACCGACAATGCACCTTAGCACACCTCCTTTATAGAACAAAACACCCATGAGTCTACAAAAGTTTTACTATTTACTGAAGTTTATTTATAAACTAATTTCAAGAGGAGCACACGCTTATGATTGATAGCACCTGGACCTGGTTCCCTCTCATCCTGCAACAGGCTCGAGGATCTTACGAGTTTAGGGCTCTCTCCCGAGACAGCATGCCAAACACGCTCCATAATCAATCATCAGCTAAGGGTGAACTCTTGAAAACAACGTGGTGCAAAATGTGAAAATTAGAGTTGCGCTGGTCTGAAAACTGCAACAAATCGCGCCAAATACGTCTTGCTCCTTATTGTACCGGGTGTATGATAGGGCCTAAAATCTTTATGGAACTGGATTTTTACTTATTATTCTAATGCTTTTTTGTTATACATTTTTTTTTTTTCATTTTGACCCATATCCTGAGTTTTTTGCTATAAGACTTGTGGTTTTGTGGTCTAAGGAAGACATTGTTAATAATATTGACTTGTTTGGGACAGTATCCAGCTCTTTACTTTCATATTGCTCCACATTGTCCTTGTCTAATCAGCATTTGTGACTGATGCAGATTGATCTATCATATTGGAAGACATTGGACGGGTGGATGGATGGATGGATGAATGGTACTTTCTCTCAGTCCATCAGTGTTACTGTGTGAATGACAGTCCATGTGCCATCACAGCCGTTCCCATAGCAACCGCATCCACAGACAGGTGCTTGTGTTTTGGTTGCCGTTCAGAAGAAATGAAGACATTTCAGAAGAGCAGAGAGGGAGGATGGAGAGAGAGAGGGAGAGAGAGAGAGAGAGAGAGAGAGAGGCTGAAAATAGAGCAAATGAGTGCTAATGATTTTTATAGCGTTCTTCATCCTGACAGACATCTGATCCAGCTGCAGGTGCTGCTGCGAGTGTGTGTCAGCGTGTGAGTTTGTAGTGTGTGTGTGTTTGTTTATGCGAGTGCATGTGTGTTTGTGGTGTCTGTGTCTATTGTGAGTGTGTATGTATGCGTGTGTGTGTGTGTGTGTGTGTATCTCTGTCTCTGTGCATGTTTGTGTATCCTTCTTCTCTGTTTTTGTGGTGTCTGTCTATTGTGAGTTTGTGTGTATGTGTGTGTATATGTGTGTGTCTGTGAGATTGGGTTTGTTTGTGTGTGTGTATATATATGTGTGTGTGTTTGTGTGTGTCTGTGAGATTGTGTGTCTGTGTATGTGAGAGAGAGAGAGAAAATGTGCTTGTGTGTGTGTGTGTGTCTGTAAGAGAGAGAGAGAGAGAGAGAGTTTATGTGTGTGCGTATATGTGTGTGTGTGTCTGTGTATATGTGTGTATCTGTCTTAATGTGTGTGTGAGAGAGAGAGAGTTTGTGTGTCAGTTTGTGTGTGCGTATATGTATATGTGCATTTGTGTGTGTCTGTGTGTATATGTATGTGTATCTCTGTCTTAATGTGTGAGTGTGTGTGTGTGTGAGAGAGAGTGTGTGTGTGTCTGTGTGTATGTGTGTGTATCTCTGTCTTAATGTGTGTGTGTGAGAGAGAGTATGTGTGTGTGTATATGTGCATGTGTGTGTGTCTGTGTGTATATGTGTGTGTATCTCTGCCTTAATGTGTGTGTGTGTGTGTGAGAGAGTATGTGTGTGTGTATATGTGCATGCGTGTGTGTCTGTGTGTGTAAATGTGTGTGTATCTCTGCCTTAATGTGTGTGTGAGAGTATGTGTGTGTGTATAAGTGCATGTGTGTGTATCTGTGTGTATATGTGTGTGTATCTCTGCCTTAATGTGTGTGTGAGAGAGTATGTGTGTGTGTAAATGTGTGTGTGTGTGTGTGTATATGTTTGTGTATCTCTGCCTTAATGTGTGTGTGAGAGAGAGTATGTGTGTGTGTATATATGTGCATGCATGTGTGTCTGTGTGTGTATATCTGCCTTAATGTGTGTGAAAGAGAGTATGTGTGTGTGTATATGTGCATGTGTGTTTGTCTTTGTGTGTATATGTGTGTGTATCTCTTTCTTAATGTGTGTGTGAGAGAGAAAGTGTGTGTGAGTGAATATGTGTGTGTATATGTATATGTGCATGTGTGTGTGTCTTTGTGTGTGTATGTGTGTGTATCTCTGTCTTAATGTGTGTGAGAGAGTAAGTGTGTGTGTCTTTGTGTGTATATGTGTGTGTATATCTGTCTTAATGTGTGTGTGAGAGCATGTGTGTGTGTGAGTGAGTATGTGTGTGTATATGTGCATGTGTGTGTCTGTGTGTATATCTCTGTCTTAATGTGTGTGTGTGAGGGAGGAAGTGTGTGTGAGTGGATATGTGTGTGTATATGTGCATGTGTGTGTGTGTCTTTGTGTGTGTATGTGTGTGTATCTCTGTCTTAATGTGTGTGAGAGAGTAAGTGTGTGTGTCTTTGTGTGTATATGTGTGTGTATATCTGTCTTAATGTGTGTGTGAGAGCATGTGTGTGTGTGAGTGAGTATGTGTGTGTGTATATGTGCATGTGTGTGTCTGTGTGTATATCTCTGTCTTAATGTGTGTGTGTGAGAGAGGAAGTGTGTGTGAGTGGATATGTGTGTGTATATGTGCATGTGTGTGTGTGTCTTTGTGTGTGTATGTGTGTGTATTTCTGTCTTAATGTGTGTGAGAGAGAGTGTGTGTTTGAGCGAGTGTGTGTGTGCGTATATGTGCATGTGTGTGTCTTTGTGTGTATATGTGTGTGTATCTCTGTCTTAATGTGTGTGTGTCTGTGAGAGAGTGTGTGTGTGTGTCACTCATCAGGTCTCTCTCTCTGTCTCTCTGTAGAGTACGGAGCAGGTGGCAGCGTTCTGCCGCAGTCTGCACGAGATGAATCCCTCCTCCTCTGAATCCGTCTCTTCTTCATCCGTCCCGGAGTCTTCATCACTTCCTCCCAGTACCGCCACTCCACGCCAGCTCTCCGATGCCGACAAACTCCGCAAAGTCATCTGCGAACTGGTGGAGACGGAGCGCACATACGTCAAAGTCAGTACCTGTGTGTGTGTGTGTGTGTGTGTTTTAGTCAGGCGAACTCAAGTGTGTGAGTTTGTGCCCTTCATCCAGTTCTCAGGCCGGCAGGGAAACTAACTGTGCCCTTGATTTGCCTTTTAGCACTCACTCTGACACTTATGAATGGAGGTGGATACTGAACTCTGCATATTATTCATTAAGAAAAGCCTTCAGGAGAGAGTGTGTGTGCAGAGATCAATTCAAGCAGTGTGTTACTGCAAATATCACATGACCTTGCATTAGTTTGTGCTGTGGGCTGTAGTGTACACTTAAATGAAAGTTGCTCAGACTTTTATTTCAGTATGCTGATGTGCTGAAATGGAATATTGAGTAGGGGGCGGGGCTTTATTTTTGTGTACCATTAGCTGCGTCTCAAATGGCACACTATGCACTCATGTTAGTGCCCTTACAACACTAAACAGCATAGTATATGTATGTAGTGTCGTCCCAAATGGTACACTAATGTTTTTTACTAAGCGGACATTCAAACCGTTTCCCTGATGAGTCGCCAAATCAGTAAAATAAATGACCAAGCTATCAAATAACACCTGCCATGAGTATAACCGCATTCACCATCGGGAGGCGCTATAACCACTCTCATAGGAGAATTTTGCTTTCACCATCCAAAATAAATAAAGTAATCCAACATGTGCGCCCGGTAGCTCCGCCCCTTCCGCTACGTGAGCAAACCTGCAGTCATTGAGTGCGTGAAGTGTCCATAGCTATGCCCCAAATGGCTCACTATGCACTCATGCACTATGTACTTATGCACTTACATATTCACCAGCATAGTATATATGTATGTAGTGTCGTCCCAAATGGCACACTAATGTTTTTTTACTTAGCGGAAATTCAAACCGTTTCCCTGATGACGTTTGACAGTCACCAAATCAGTAAAATAAATGACCAAGCTATCAAATAGCACCTGCCGTGAGTATAACCGCATTCACCATCAGGAGGCGCTATAACCACTCTCATAGGAGAATTTTGCTTTCACCATCCAAAATAAATAAAGTAATCCAACATGTGCGCCCGGTAGCTCCGCCCCTTCCGCTACGTGAGCAAACCTGCGGTCATTGAGTGCGTGAAGTGTCCATAGCTATGCCCGAAATGGCTCACTATACACTATGCACTCTTGCACTATGTACTTATGCCCTTACAACACTAAACAGCATATTATATGTATGTAGTGTCGTCCCAAATGGCACACTAATGTTTTTTTACTAAGCGGAAATTCAAACCGTTTCCTGATGACGTTTGACGGTCGCCAAATCAGTAAAATAAATGACCAAGCTATCAAATAGCACCTGCCGTGAGTATAACCGCATTCACCATCGGGAGGCGCTATAACCACTCTCATAGGAGAATTTTGCTTTCGCAATCCAAAATAAATAAAGTAATCCAACATGTGCGCCCGGTAGCTTCGCCCCTTCCACTGCGTGAGCAAACCTGCGGTCATTGAGTGTGTGACGTGTCCATAGCTATGCCCCAAATGGCTCACTATACACTATGCACTCATGCACTATGTACTTATGCACTTACATATTCAACAACATAGTATTTATGTATGTAGTGGCGTCCCAAATGGCACACTAATGTTTTTTAACTAAGCGGAAATTCAAACCGTTTCCCTGATGACGTTTGATGGTCGCCAAATCAGTAAAATAAATGACCAAGCTATCAAATAACACCTGCCATGAGTATAACCGCATTCACCATCGGGAGGCGCTATAACCACTCTCATAGGAGAATTTTGCTTTCGCAATCCAAAATAAATAAAGTTATCCAACATGTGCGCCCTGTAGCTCCGCCCCTTCCGCTATGTGAGCAAACCTGCGGTCATTGAGTGTGTGACGTGTCCATAGCTATGTCCCAAATGGGTCACTATACACTCATGCACTATGTACTTATGCACTTACATATTCACCAGCATAGTACATGTATGTAGTGTCGTCCCAAATGGCACACTAATGTTTTTTTACTTAGCGGAAATTCAAACCGTTTTCCTGATGATGTTTGACAGTCACAAAATCAGTAAAATAAATGACCAAGCTATCAAATAACACCTGCCATGAGTATAACCGCATTCACCATTGGGAGGCGCTATAACCACTCTCATAGGAGAATTTTGCTTTCGCAATCCAAAATAAATAAAGTTATCCAACATGTGCGCCTGGTACCTCCGCCCCTTCCACTACATGAGCAAACCTGCGGTCATTGAGTGCGTGAAGTGTCCATAGCTGCGTCCCAAATGGCTCACTATGCACTCATGCACTATGTACTAATGCACTTACATATTCAACAGCATAGTATACATGTATGTAGTGTCGTCCCAAATGGCACACTAATGTTTTTTAACTAAGCAGAAATTCAAACCGTTTCCCTGATGATGTTTGACGATCGCAAAATCAGTGAATTAAATGACCAAGCTATCAAATAACACCTGCCATGAGTATAACCGCATTCACCATCAGGAGGCGCTATAATGACTCTCATAAGAGAATTTTGCTTTCACAATCCAAAATAAATAAAGTTATTTAACATGTGCACCCTGTAGCTCCGCCCCTTCCGCTATGTGAGCAAACCTGCAGTCATTGAGTGCGTGAAGTGTCCATAGCTATGTCCCAAATGGCTCACTATGCACTCATACACTATGTACTTATGCACTTACATATTCACCAGCATACTATATATGTATGTAGTGTCGTCCCAGATGGCACACTAATGTTTTTTTACTAAGCGGAAATTCAAACTGTTTTTCTGATGATGTTTGACGGTTGCCAAATCAGTGAAATAAATGACCAAGCTATCAAATAACACCTGCCATGAGTATAACCGCATTCACCATCGGGAGGCGCTATAACCACTCTCATAGGAGAATTTTGCTTTCGCAATCCAAAATAAATAAAGTAATCCAACATGTGCGCCCGGTAGCTCTGCCCCTTCTGCTACGTGAGCAAACCTGTGGTCGTTAAGTGTGTGAAGTGTCCATCATTCCACACTTCATTTTAGCGGCTGAATGAGTGCATCATCCGGGTAATTAAAGTGCACTTATCATTTTTAGAGTTTTCAGTTGAAGTCAGAATTATTAGCCCCCATTAGAATTTTCTTTTTTGAATATTTCCAAAATGATGTTTAACAGAGCAAGGAACTTTTCACAGTATGTCTGATAATATTTTTTCTTCTGGAAAAAGTCTTTGTTTTATTTTGGCTAGAATAAAAGCAGTTTTACATTTTTTTAAAAACCCTTTTAAGGACAAAATTATTAGCCCCTTTAGGCAAATCTTTTTTCTGACTGTCTACAGAAAAAAACATCGTTATACAATAACTTGCCTAATTACCCTAACCTGCCTAGTTAACCTAATTTACCTAGATAAGCCTTTAAATGTCACTTTAACCTGTATAGAAATGTCTTGAAAAATATCTAGTCAAATATTACTTACTGTCATCATGACAAAGATAACATAAATCAGTTATTAGAGATGAGTTTATAAAACTATTATGTTCAGAAATGTGTTGAAGAATTCTCTCTGTTAAACAGAATTAGGGAAAAAAATAAACAGGGGGCAAACAATTCAGGGGGGCTAATAATTCTGACTTCAACTGTGTGTGTGTGTATATATATGTCATGACTGTGTTTTGTCCACTAGATGCCACTGTAGTTCGCCAGCTACTCCCAGCAAACTACAGTGGCTTAGAACTACATTTCCATACATTCTTTCGTGCACACATCCGGTCTGTCATGTACACTGATTGCCATCACAGCTGTCTCTGTTTCCCTGTTGATTACCTGGACTTTATATTCAACCATTCCACCTCTTTTTGTCAGTTCGTCGTTCGTCTTTGTGTAATGTTATTCCTGATTCCTGTCTAGTTTCCTGTCAGAGTTGTCAAGTCCTAGATCTAGTTTATCTGTTTGAGTTCCTTGTTTGTTTGTTTACTTTGTTACTTTGATTTTTGGATTTTTGGTCTTTTTTACTGCACTAATACATTATTAAATCTGCACTTGGATCCTACACCCGTTTTTGTTCCTGTTTACAATCCTGAAATATAGTTTTTTCCCTATAGAATTTTTTCCCTAATTCTAATATATATATATATATATATATATATATATATATATATATATATATATATATATATATATATATATATATATATAGGCAAGGCAAGGCAAGTTTATTTATATAGCACATTTCATACACAGTGGCAATTCAAAGTGCTTTACATAAACAGGAATAAAAAAGACAAGTTTAGGAAAATAAAATGCAGACAATAAAAATTAATAAAAACAGATAAAAACAAATTAAAATGAGTTAAAATAGGTTATAAAAGAATGAAAAAGAAAACGAAAAACATAATAGTGCGATCTGTCGGACGCAGCACAGTGCTCATTCAGTAAAGGCACAGCTAAACAGATGTGTTTTCAGTCTTGATTTGAATGTGCCTAATGTTGGAGCACATCTGATCAATTCTGGAAGCAGATTCCAGCAGTGAGGAGCATAGTGGCTGAAGGCAGATTCACCCTGCTTTGATTGAGCTCTTGGAACTTCTAGTTTATATGATCCTAAAGATCTGAGTGATCTGTTAGGTTTGTATTCAGTGAGCATATCTGTAATGTATTGAGGTCCTTGGCCATTTAGTGATTTATAGACCAGTAATAATACTTTAAAATCTATTCTGAATGTAACTGGCAGCCAGTGTAGAGACCTGAGGACAGGTGTGATGTGCTCTGATTTTCTGGTTCTGGTCAGAATTCTGGCTGCAGCGTTCTGGATGAGCTGCAAGTGTCTGACTGTCTTTTTGGGAAGGCCAGTGAGGAGTCCATTACAGTAATCCACCCTGCTGCTGATAAAAGCATGAACAAGTTTCTCTAAGTCTTCACTGGAAACAAAGCATCTGATTCTTGCTATGTTTTTGAGATGATAGTATGCTGATTTACTGACTGCTTTGACATGACTGTTGAAACTCAGATCTGACTCCAGAGTCACACCAAGATTCTTGACCTTATTTTTTGTCGTTTGACCTTTAGTGCCAAGGTTTCACATTCACCTTGAGAACCTCATCTCTGTTCCCAAACGCAATGACTTCAGTTTTCTCTTTGTTTAACTGAAGAAAATTTTGGCACATCCAATTGCTCACTTCATCAATGCATTGGCAGAGGGTGTCAATGGGGCTGTAGTCATTAGGCAGTAAGGCTAGGTAGATCTGAGTGTCATCAGCATAGCTGTGGTAGGAGATTTGATTCTTTCTCATTATTTGGCTTAGAGGGAGCATGTAAAGGTTGAACAGGAGAGGTGCCAGAATCGAGCCTTGTGGGACTCCACATGTCATGGGTGTCCACCTCGACCTATGATCACCTATACTGACATAGTAACCTCTCCCTTCAAGGTAAGATCTGAACCATTTGAGGACTGTCCCAGACAGCCCAACCCAGTTTTCCAGCCTATCCAGAAGTATGCTGTGATCGACAGTGTCAAATGCAGCACTGAGATCGAGCAATACCAGCACTGTTATTTTACCTGAATCTGTATTTAGGCGTATATCATTGATTATCTTTATAAGAGCGCTCGCTGTACTGTGATGTGCTCTGAAACCAGATTGAAAATTGTCTAAACACCCCTTGAAGTTTAAGAACTTGTTAACCTGGTTAAAAACAACTTTTTCAATGATTTTGCCAATGAAAGGGAGATTTGAGATTGGCCTGTAATTGCTCAATAGGGTGTTATCCAGGTTGCTCTTCTTCAAGAGGGGTTTAACAACTGCAGTTTTAAGTGAGTTTGGAAAAATCCCTGAGAGAAGTGACTCATTTACCACTTTTAGGAGATCCATTTCTAAACAGGTAAACACCGTTTTGAAGAATGATGTGGGGAGCGTGTCAAGACTGCAGGTTGATGTTTTCATAACTTGCACAATTTCTTCTAAGATTTTACCGTTAATATATTACGATATATTATTTACGATATATATTTACGATAATATATATATTAAACCTGTCAAAATGTAAATATTTTTTTAGATATAAATTTCTAATTTAGATATAAACCCTTCAAATTTTAAATAGTGTCTCCCTATTCCAGTCAATCTATCTGTGAAATAGGCCTATTGGTCACCTAAAGAATAACAATGTGTGCCAGCAAAATAATCATTTGTACATTTTTCATTCACACAAACTTGCTAATTTCACCAAATCTAAATAGGTGATTTGTCTATTTATGGAAAGAGCTCCTCAGTCTGAATGAAACCCGTGTGACTGGCCTAACTGTTATATAATAATAATAATAATTCCTTACATTTATAAAGCACTTTTCTGGGCGCTCGAATCGCTTTACACATAGGTGGGGAATCTCCTCATCCACTACCAGAGCGCAGCATCCACCTGTATGACGCGACCGCAGCCATTTTGCTCCAGACCGCACACCAGCTGATTGGTGGAGAGGAGACAGAGATTCCAGTGTTAGGATTCCATGATGGACAGAGGCCAGTGGGCAAAATTGGCCAGGATGCCGGGGTTAAACTCTACACTTTTCGACCACAACAACCACAGAGAGTCGGTTGCTTCTCATTCAAATGACGGCGCTTACTGAGCAGAGTCCCCGTCACTGTACTGAGGCTTTAGGACCCACACAGACCGCAGGCTGAGCGCCCCGTAGCTTTTCCAACAGCAACCTACTTTTCCCATGGAGTCTCCCATCCAGGTACTGACCGGGTGCAGCCCTGCTTAGCTTCAGTGGGCAACCATGTGAGAGTTGCACAGAGCTCGCTGCCGGCTATATGGAGATTTCCTGAATTGCACATACATCTTTATTAGATAAACCTTCTATTAATTTTTCAAAAACAAAAACTTTAGTTCAAGAATTTTGAATAATGACACAAATTATATCAATTTATGTCTAAAAATAATGTTCGAATGTATATTTAGGGACATTTTGTCTTGAATATAAAAACTTAAAGACAAATATACCTCTTTGTGACTGTCTCCACCTCCTTAATCATAACTTAATCGTAAGAAATAAAAAATCGTAATGTAATCGTAATAAATAATTAAGTCTTATTTTCATCTTATTTTCTGTGTTTACTCTTATTAAGTCATATAAACATTTGAAATAGAAACATCTATTTTCTTAATATTCATCAGTTCCCACCTTCAGCTCTGTTACACCGGTTGTAAAAAGGCATGACAATCTGTAAAGCACAGAGAGAAAAAGCATGAGACCTGCTCCAAGTGATGTCCCTTCCTCTGGCGGGAAACTCAGGAAGGCATTGAGGCATGTCGTT